GGTCAAACTCTACACCACTGCAGATGCCATGGGCACGTACCYGTGTACCCCCAGCAGCCACATTCGACACAGACAATTTGTTTTCATAGCTGCTGCTCACTAGTTTGTGAAACCCTGCTCTTCCAGGGGATGGCAGCGAACCATTTTCATGTAGTCCAGCTGACTGCAGAGCTTGTACATGTTTAAAGACAATGTTTGTTAATGTACGTGTTTAAAAACAATGTCTGTTATTTCATTTTATCTAATGGATTTGTAATAGTAGGCCTGGTTTCATGTCTGGAAATCTTTGCCGGAYACTTATAAACACAGACGACTCTATTTATTTGAAGCTGGATGACCAGCTTGCTTGTTATCTGTGTACGGGCCAGACGAAATACCGAGATGAGCCAGGAGCAGAGAGAGGAATTACTCGAGGTTGCTTACAGCCTGGTCTGACCCATGCTTAATCTGTGATAAATAATCACCATGGAAAGCAAGGCTTTCAGCTGCCTCTTCCACCCTTACACACTCCCTTTCCCTTGTGCAGGTGTGAGGTTTAGGCTGTGTGGTGAATCTGATTAAGGAGCTCATCTGAAGTTTTTTTGCCTGGTTATTTCAATTCACACCATCCCCCCTGTGCTTTATCACGTGCTTTATCCTCACAAGTGTTGGTGCCTGCTCTTTGGAGCAGGGCTGACCTGTGTCTTTGAACTCCCACTTGAGATGGAGGATGGAGGAAGATGTCTTGATCACATAAAAAATCAGCAGTAGAATATACTGGAAAAAAGGTATTGGGGGATGTCACASACCATGTTCAAGGAGTACAAGGCATATTAAAGATGTGCATTTTGAATGCTGTATTGATACCAGTGTTTCCCAACAGCCCTGCAAGGAGAACTGATATTCATTTTTATGAGAGTTACTGGGGGTTTTAAACATGGATTAAAGCTCAAAGTAGAACAGGATTAAGGATATACATCGGATTTGTAAAATAATAGTTATAGGCATGCCCAATCATCTGCTTTTCATTCTTTGCAGGGCAGAGATGTTTCTGCTTTCTCCCTCCTTTTCCTTCACCAAAACAGTGTAAGGGACGAGACTTTAAATTCCTAAGAGGTGTTTGCTTCATTTTAGGAGTGTTCAAGTACTTTGGAAGTCTGAAGACATTTTTGCTTAACAGACACCTAATGTTGTTTATAGTTGTTTCTAAAACAATGCTTGGACAAATAAGAAGAAACAGACTAAATTTCCATGATATGAGAACAGATACACACAATATATTTTCAGTGGTGCTTGCACCATCATCTTAAAAAAGATTAATAGTTTGGAATTAATTTGGTTATCAGAGTGTTAATCATAGATGTTTTATGTATGGGTTATTGTACTTTTTCAGCTTTTTGTTCATAGCAAAAAATATTATATATAAATAACATTTTTTGTTYGAAACAAAATATCCTAGCACTGTAGTATCATCTGTTAAAGAGGACTAATTAGTATTCTCTTACTTCCCTTTTTAGTTTTAACAGTTGTCATTTGTCGCAAAGAATATTCTATTTTTCTATGTACTTTGTTCCTAAGCATTTGTTGACTTTCCCAGCTTTCCTAAGAACTGACTGCTGGGAGTAGTGCTGCCAAACTGCAGAAGCTTTCTGTTAAGGTAAATGCAGAAGTGTATGTATATAAACTGCTTTATAGCCTATTTTTACATTTACTCTCTGGAAAGATCTTGCCAATTTGAAGGCATACGATATATAAATTAGGTGCTTTTGGAGTCTACATTAAGGAACAGGCACCAAGACCTGTGTACTTCCCTAGACTGCAGGGACATGGCACATTCTGTCATGCTTGTGAGTTCTGCCTTTCAATACTTATCTGCCTGTCTTCAGCCCAGCTTAAAAGCACAGGTGAACCTCTAGTCTGGCTACCAGGGCAGGGAAGATGCTTCAGAAGCCGTCACCATGACTGATAAGGCTGATAAGGCATTTGAGTTTTCATATAGACTGAACGTGCATCTTAAGGCATTAGTTGAAACTCCTGAAGCCTTTTCGTATACTTCAGTGGCAAATCACCTTGTCAGGTTGACTGACTTAAAGCTAAAAATACCAGGTCATGTAGCCTTCCRTATATAAAAAATGAGGCAAGTCTCTAGATTTGGGTGGGTTATTTTGACCAGGTCTCTGATCTTGTGAACACCTGTGAGCAGCAGGACTTGGACAAAAATGTTTTGGTGCCAGTCCATAAGAATCTAATTTGTTCATATTGAGGTGGTTTCATGATGTGAACTTGACTGCATGGAAATATTGGAATTTTCACTTCAAGAGGACAGTCCTGATCTGCACCAAAAGGCCAAGAGAAATGGGTCATAGACTGGAATCACAGAGGCACGGAGGCTGGAGGGGACCTCAGGAGGTCTCTAGCCCAACCCCKCTGCTCAAAGCAAGGCCAGCTAGAGCAGATTGTTCAGAAGTGTATCCAGTCAGGCTTCTGACACCTCTATGGTTGAAACTTCACAGCGTCTTCATACTTCATACCACCTGTTCCATACAAGCCGTTTGAGCTTATAGTAAAAGGGAAAAAAAAAAAAAAAAAAAGCCTTTTTCATATGTTTAAGTTGAATTTCCTGTATTTCATTTTGTGCCCGTTGCCTCCCATCCTGTCACTGGCTACCCCAAAGTTTAGCTCCATCTTTTTTATGCTCCCCCTCATCATGATCCTTGATCAGATCTCCTCTGAGCTCTATCTTCCCCAGCCTCTCAGCCTCTCCTCCTGTGACACAAGTTCCAAACCCCTACTCACGTTTGGGACTTTTTGGTGTGTGTGCCCGTGTCTGTGCTGTACAGGGGAGCCCAGCACTGGACACTACACTCCAGATGCTCCTCACCCTGCTGAGTAGGGGGACAGATCCCTCCCTCTACCTGCTGGCAGCACTGCAGGATGTGTTGCCGTCCTGCATCCTCATCTGCACTGCAGGATGCTCTTGGACACTTCTTCCAGGAGGACCTACTGCTAGGCCATGTTGAACTTGTCCACCGGGACGCCCAGGTCCCAAGTCCTTTTCTGCAGAATTGGCCCCTGTATCGAAGCAACTGGTGTCCAGCTGAGCTGAATACAACCCTTGGAGGCCAATAATTTGGTCACTTTTAAGTGCACCTCACTGCCTGCTTAGGAAGTCTGCATTTCATCAGTTTGTCCGTGAGGATGTTACGGGAGGTGGTGTTGAAAGCCCTGCTGACGTGTAGATGCACAGCACCCGGTGCTCTGCCCTCATCCACATCACCTCAGAGAGCTGCTGCCTTGGTCAGGCATGATCTGCACTCATAAATCCATGCTGACTGCTGCCACTCGCTTTCATGTTCCTAACGTGTTTTGAAATGACTCCCAGGAGAATTCGCTCCATCACCTTCCCAGGGATCCCAGCGACGCTGACSTGCCTGGAGTCCCCTGCATCCGTCTCCTCTGATGTCCTTGAAGATAGGAGTGACATTTGCTTTCTGCCAGGCCTCAGGGTCTGCCCCTGATTGCCATGACTTTTCAAATATAATCCTCAGTAAACCTTAAAAATGCCATTATTACAGTTAAAAATTTCTTTTTCCTTGCCCTTTTAGAGGTGAAATTAGGTTACTGTTTCATAGCTGTAAATTGCTACTTTTAGATGCTTGTATCAGTGATAAAATAGTTAATGGTGGTAAAAGCAATTTTGTACCCTACGTGGTTTCCTATAAATAATTTCCACGATTTAAACAAATTTGGATATTGTTCTTCTGCTTATATTAGGGAAAGGGAATGTTAAGCACATATTGCAGGAGGTGAAAATGCTCCATAAAATAAAAAATAAACCTTACGATCAAGTTTCATTTCTATAATAAAAATAGTTTGCCAACTTTACTCTCTATGCAAAAAAAAAAATACTTTTTATCCTCATTTTTATCTCATTAAATTTTACTTAAAAGACTATCAGTAAAAATAGTATAATCTTTCCCAAGATTTCCAATGTGTCTTTCCTGTGTCTTGTTTTGAGACTTAATTATATCTTTGTCTGTAAATCAGTATCATAAATAGACAGAATCTCATGTTTGCCATTATTTTCTTCCCCGATAMCAAGTTTTCAGTTCATTAGGTATCTTTTTCAGTTGATTAACTCCCTCAATATTTGTTCCTACCCTTTCCTTAATGGTCACTAGTGCTGGGGGAAATTTTGTCTATGACTAGTAAAAAATAATTATGTTCTTTTTGCAGCAACATCCTTGAAAATATTTGTAGGCATACCCTGTCTAATCCGAGCCATCATTTTTATCAATATGTCAACTTTTCCATGTGATTAGACATTTTTTGAGGAACCTGCATTCATAGCATTATTGCTGTAAATATATTCTTTCAAATTTTCTATTTGTTATTTGTACACAATCTGTTTGTACATAATGTTTTATGGGCTGTATGACAGCATAAAAGCATTGTCTTCCTTGCTGCTCTTTTTRTTTCCATTTCCATCTTCACAGAGCCAGAATAAGGGTGCTTTTTATTTAAAATAAATAATAATCTCAGGAAAACCATCCTCTTACTGCGTTATGGGAAGCTGCAAAGTAAAGAGGGCTCACACCCATGCACAGCTGTGCCGAGCTATTGGATGTGTAATAACTTGATTTAAGTTGCAGCCTCCAGCTTGCTGCTGGCTTCCATGCTTCCTGCAGCCAGAAGAGCAGCAGTGGTGCTGAAAGAGTCCAGAGCAGTTTCATTCTGCTGCTCCTTGACAGCAGATAAGCAGCTCTCAAAGTGCATGTTTAAAGATGAAACCAGAAGTCTGTCCTTAAAAGTCCTGAGCTGGTTTCAGAAGTAGTAACATGGCAACAAAAATCACAGTATTCCATTTATTCCTAACAGCAAAATGTGGCAAAACAGTTGTGCAGCAGCTCTTTGAGGAATGGATCTTATTTTCTCATCCTGCATTAGGTGGTAAAACAATAGGCAAGTGCAAATAAAAGAAAATTGTGAGTAAATTAGTTTTTGTTTTCTCTTTCTTTTAGGACTCCTCCCGGGTGTCTTCGAGCAGATTTAAAAGGTATGAAATCTTTGTACTCGACATATTCAAAAATTTTGTTTGCACAGTTAGATCTGTCAGAAATAAAGCTGGTTAAATATACTGGCTACCTGTAGTACAGGCTGTTGCACTACTGTTGTATATTTATAATATGATTTTTGATTACAGCAGCCTTACCAAACCCTCTGTATTACATTAGTATTTTAAAATAAATTCAGCTGTTGCTTGCTAGGTCTCATTAGTGCAGAACAGATTCCTAAGTAAAAAATCGAACTTGTTATTTTTGACTATCATGACCTAGGAACCAACTCTTTCATAGGGTATATGAACCTCYATCATTTGAAGTTTGCCATAGGAACATAATTTTGTGGCTTCCTATTACTAATATTGAAAGAAATTGCTATGATTTCTGCTGAACTACTATACCTGTTTTAAGAAATACTGCCAATGGAACATATCCTCTTCTGCTTGTAATAATAAAGTTGAAAATCATATACTTACTGACTTACATACTGACTTGCATATAAGCTAATTCTTCTGGTTAGCATTGCAACAATAGAGAGTCCAAAGCTAGGAAATACTAAAGTTGGCCTTCGTTGTGTAGTCTTCGTTTGGTTTGCTTTATTTATGATGTGCATTCTGTGCTGATGAACTCTTCCCTTGTGGAGCTGAATCACATTCTGGAAGACTCACACTTGCTGCGAGCTGCCRCCCAATACTTTCTTCATTATGTGGCCTTATATCTTACTCAATGCATGGTCTTGTAACTTCATGTTGGAAACAGATATTCAGCTACAATATTCAATATTCACTATAATAAAAAAAAAATCAGCTGTTTTAATCACAAAGCCCTCGTTAATACTTGCCAACTTAGAGACTTAACCTGCCTCTTCCAATTTCTGCAACAAGTGGAGGTCCTAGAGGAAGCAGCCTTCTCTACAGTAATTCCCATCCATTGTAATGTAGGTCTGACATGTGTGCCCCAGAAACAGAAAATGTAGCTGTGTGATTACAACTATTTCCAGAATGTGTACGTTAAGAGGCTGAAGATTATAAGCTGCTTGAAGACTCTAACGTGTTCAGCTTAATGTGCTCTTAACAGTTTAGGTTGCACTTCCTTAGGGTTTAAATTCCAGCCCAAACATAGGGATCCTGTTTAAGAGTATCCATTACTTGTAGCAGTGGGTCACAATTTTATGGATGACCATCAGAGGCAGAGACTGTGTGAGACCTTATAGGTACATGATGAAAAAAGAAAAAAGTCAACATTTGCTTAAAATCTTTGGCTCTGATTTTGGACCACAAGGGAACAAATGCACAATTTGTCAGAAATTTTGAGGTCATTTTCCCTCCATCTTTACTACGTCTCCCCCATCATTTGATTTCCCTCACTGTTCCTCACCAGAAACCACAGTGCTTCATCTTCCATTTTACTAGTTTCCATTTTCTAGTTCAGTTAGACTCCTTGTCCTTTCTTTCCCACTTTTTCAGATGTTCTCGTATTTAACCATGGAAGTTCTTGCCTTCTCTCTGTTCTTCCTCATGATTTCCTGTCTCTTGCTCTATCTCCATCTTCTCTTTTCCTCTGATTCCTAGCCCTGGTTATTGATTCCAACCCAGGCTTCCAATAGCTTCAATTGTTTTCGTGGCCACACTGAGTTACCCGGCCTCTTGGATCTAAAAAGGGAACTGAGACTTATCCAGAGCAGAGATCTRTGCTGATTCACGTGCAATTGCAGTCCTCACAGTATGTTCCAAGGCTCGAGGAATTGCACAGGCTTTACTACTTATTTATCTGACATACTGGCTCCTTTGCCTTATAAGGATGGTTAAATGTTTATGTGACATTTCTGAGAACCATGTTTCCCTGCATGCCCATTGACCAGCAGACATGTTGACAAATGAGCTGCTGGCTGCCCTTGTGTCCTCATACAATAATATAAATAAAACTTTGCCGTGAGGATCTTAAGCTCTAATTGTGTCTTTCTTCAGAATTTACTTTAAAAATTTCTACTCACCCCAAAAATTTCATTAGGAATTTCTACCGAAAACTGCATAAAATGTTTTCAGAAGAAAGTGCTGACTCTGTTGTGATCTCCTATGGTCCTTAAAGCTCTGTTAGAAACATGAGCACACTCTGGTAGTATGCTTGAATGTGACGTGTTTATGAGCATATTTGGGAGAGCTCTGGCCAGTTGTTTGTGCAGACTGTGAACTGCAGGTTATTGAAGTGTCTTCATGTAGGTATGTCGCTGTGGCAAGAGCCCCTATCCACTTCCTCATCTTTAATCTTTCCCTAAGCTTTTCTTAATAGGATATGCCTCACCTGGGCCACTCAAAGCTGCTATTACAGTAACTGGGTCTACCAGTTCTCRTGCTGCTTTGGGAGTAGTTGTTCCAAGCCAGCAAGCAGATTGCCTTGGATGACTGTGGTTTTCTCATTGAACACTGATGCTRTCACCACAGTTGGTGCCATCACTAATTTCTCAAAGAAGTGAGTGACACCAGCRTGTGCTGTGAGTTGAAATATGTGAGTGCATTTTGCATACAAACATATATTGTGTTTTTCTTTTGTAAACKAAAAGGCAAGTAATGGCAAAGCAAGATGTGCATATGGCATAGAAATATTTTGATAACTGCAGAGAGTTTGTTTGAGTGGCTCATTTTAAAGACTTCATGAGCTTTGGTGCTATTTTGCTTCTCAAAGCAAATATTTTTAAAAGTCTTACATTGAAAATAAAACCTTGCAAATCAGGGTGTGAAATAGCTCGGAAGCTTTTGCATGGTTCATGGATCAGACAGATCAGGCTGGATCAGTTTACAGAAAGAGGTAGATTAAAATCTCTTAGTGATTCAGGGGGGTGTTCCCCTTGTAATTTCTTTCCATTGCTGGAGACAGATACAATAGGGTATGGCTCATGGACAAAGCATCAGGSTTTTTTCCCCTCTTTTGGAAGAGAGGTGCCCCCTGAAATGGAGCTCAACAGGTAGAGACTCTGCCCACTAATTCGAATGGACTATACTGTGCTCTAAATAATTTTTGAACTCTTGTATGAGTGTTAAATGAGCTCTATGAGATTAGTAGGTCCTAACTGGAAGTGCTGTGAAGGAAATGTGAAGCTCTGCTGAAATCCTTGCTCAGTGCTTTTAGGTTACAAACAGGCTTAAAGGTGACATTAGAACCAGTGTTGTGCAGGACTGGACACTTCAAATGGATGGAGGTTTCTCAGTTACTGTTTCTGGAGGCACACAAGGAGACTGGACGTGTCTTGCCTGGCATTTCTTGACTGTCACATCCCCTTCTCAGCCAGTAGCGATACCATGAAGAGGCTTAGGGTTCCTTTCTAGAGGAGTTTCTGAGGGCCTGGGCAGAGCCTGCTGCCGTGGCTCCATGTCCCTCCTGCAGCAGCAGTGCGGGGGGTCAGGGGGGAGCTCCAGGGAGCCCCTGTGGCTCCGGGGTGCTCCAGGGAGCTCCAGCTCAGYCGCTGCCTTTGGCTGCACGGCTGCTTTGCTGGATCCGCTCCCCAAAGAGCTTCCTGCTCAACCACATGCAAGCCAAAGCCAGGACAGGCGGCGGGCAATGGACACGTGCAGCCGCAGGGCRGACCCGAGTGCCCTTCCTCAGCTCCGCTCCACGTGCCATGGACCTGCCTCAAGCAGCCCAAGGTGCCACAAGTCCAAGGTAGCCTGCTTAGAAATAGGCTTTTGCTCATTCTTCCAAAAAAGCCATTAGGAACTGGCTGGGTTTCAAAGCGACATAATCAATTAGGAGTTTCCAGATCAAATACACTTGCAGGATCCTGGAAATTAAAGAAAATGTGCTGTAGTTGAAATCAATGAAATCCRGTGTCTTATTTAAGGAGGTTTAATGGGATGAAAGTGCCGTTGCTTTTGGACAGTGTCTCAGGAAAACACTGAGAGAGCCAAAGAGACTCTTGCTCTAAAGAAGCAGCAAGATTTATTGCCGCGTTCTGTAATACCACCATCCAACCTGACCCATTTGTGGGTGCCTGATTTTATTTTACTTTAAAAGAAATGACGAGGACATCATTCCAAAACCAAACATTCTGCCTCAAAGTGTAGTCAAATACTGTGATGCRGATTAATTTCATTAGAAGTGTTTATTTAAGTACAGCCAGGCTCCCCTCCACGTTTAAAACCAAATCATCTTAAGTTGCAAAAGCTTTTTCTGATTTCAGTATTCTGTTATGGGAATATACATTTAATACAAGGCTGATGGTAGTCTAGCGTCCTCAGGCTTTCTTTTATTCCTTACCTGGAATTCCTGGGATCTGTGGGCTGCAGGTTAAGATCTGAAGTCAGTAGACTTTCATCCAGTTAGGAAGCAGAGGAAACAAATTTCCATTTGCAGAGTCACAAGCTAAAACTGTCTGTCAGCTCTTGCACACACTACGGAAAACATCAGCTTTCTGAGGCTCTGCTTCTGCCCACAGAGAGACCTAACTTGGGCTGGATTTTTTTTGTTCTTTGGTAGACTGCGAGTTCTGAGATGATATTGTGACAGCTGAGCTTTCTAGGCCTAGAGGTCATAAAGTGATGTTGGTTCAGAAGACTAAAGTCCCTTTCTTTGTGAAAAGTACTCCTGCCATATCCCAAATAGCACTTTTTGTTGCTGCTCTGCTTTTCTGGCCACTGGTTGGTTATAAAAGCAATTAATAATTAATAGTAAGTCTATGTCAGACTCCGTTATGATAGCCTGAGGTCTASTAAGGTCTAAAGCCTCCTTGTTTTCTTGTTAAATCACTCTAATACAGACCTTGAGAAGTCTCTGTGCTGTGTGCCCGCTGTACTGCTTGCTACTGAAAGAAAAGCAAGGTTCGTAGGGTCCTCTCCCCAGTGGAACAGAAGAGAAAGGTTTTGAATGAAAGCCTTAGGCATTATACAGAATAATTGCAAAACTAAATTTCAGTGTTAATTAAAGCCTTCCTGTCCAGTTATTTTTGCTTTCAGCTTTCCCGTAGGAGCACCTGCCAAGATCTGGAGCTGAGCTGAGATATTCCAGTATTGGCAAAAGGAATCATTTTTGAGCRAGGAAAAAATGTAGTGGATTTTTTGTGTGGTCTAACCTTGTGACATTTGCAGCATGCAACAACACGTCTTTCAAAAATGCTACATGATCTAGGATTTATAGAGTTAAGCGAAAATATTTCTCTTATGTTGTGTTGCAACATGCGTATCCGGTCCTAGCAATGGTTTTTTTTCTCTTTTTTTTTTTTTTAAAAAATCTTCTAGATGAAGAATAAACAGTGCTAAATATGGTAATAACATTAAGCTACAAAATTCCTTACAATTGTGTCAGTGTGCCTTGGAAACTTCACACATGCTGGAGCAAAACAATATTTATATCCATGAAAAGACATTCCTTTGCCAAGATATGCCTGCTTTTGGTTTGCACTGTATCTAGATTTGCAGATTGTCAGCAGGGGTTTTCTAGAGTTATGAAATGCATGGCTCCTGCATTCGTACATTAATCACATATTCTCCRACGTTTTGAACAAATGCTGTGAAGAAATTCAGGCTCCTCTCCATTCTGAGTACTGCAGAAACCCATTATACACTTTTCATTTCTGCAATCAGTCTTTGGCTACTTAAGTGTCTATTATATAAGTAATTTTTTTTCATAGATTGGAGAGTGAAAAATCTTTGTGCTTCTGACTGGTGTAAAGGTATTTTCTGTTGCTCTTATCTGAGACTCTGCTATTAGGAAGAAAATAGCAGAGGGAAACACTCTGTTATTGTGATTTGAGGATTTTGATTGAAATTTGATGATTTTGACTTCTAATCTGTGTATTGTAAATCATCAATATTTTTATATATTATGATTCTAATGGATAATATGATCCTACTCCTCCATACACTTTCATTTTTAATTAGATGGCAATGCTAATTGCTCTTAGGATTTCATACAGTGCTCCTAAAGAAATAGGCATTATCTAATGCAAGAAATCATCCCTAGTTAATGATTGACTGCCTACCAGCAATGGCAAATTAGTGTACACCTAAAAATATGTTGAAATGGCCTAAATTTAACATGTTAGGTCACATAACTTTCCCACTTGGGCTTCTGTTCCTACTCCTTAAAAGGCCATATCTATACTTGCTGATAAGTCAGTGGATTTGTGTAGGCTTCTTGCATTTTGGACACATGCTTGTTTTTCCTCCCTATATTATCACCTACTTCACCAGGCTTTTGGTATGCACTCTGTTGTGAGGCTTTCCTTTYTGAAATACAGTTTTTAGCTTGATTTTAATGTAAAACTTTTAATGCTTTAAAAGCAAGCTGTGATAACTAAAAATACATATTTATAGCTGATTTCTAATATAATTACTAAGAACTGAGTGCTCTTCTAAGTAGTGTACTTGTATTAGAGTTGTGTTTCTCTTTTCACTGCAAATGTGCTCTCAGATGTGCTGTCAGCATATAAACACCTAAGTTAATAAATCTATATTTTAACKACTTCCAACTGCCAGGCCAAACCTATGTGCCAAGCTATTGGGAAAGCTTATTGGCATAAGCTGTTGGGTAGACAAGCTATTATTCCAGGTCAGGACTGCTGAAGGTGGAGGTGACGTTTCGGGAAGAAAAGTAGTGCAGGGTGGCAGAAAGAGAACTCAGGAACAATTCATGTAGCGAAGGGAGACTTTCTTTAAGAGTACGTGCACAAATGCAGCCTGGGAGGTAAGCTGGAGGAAGCAGAGTGCAGTCTTGTGCAGTCACAGGACCACCAAAATGCAAGAATAACTGGTGTGTGGTGGGACCACTTGCCCAGAGTATGGTGGGGGACCAGTTGATAGAAACTCTTCAGGGACACTAGGCAGAGGTGATGAGGGGGGCTGCCTTCTTTGCAAGGGAGCAGAATAGACCTAGGAAGCTCTTTTGTGGGACAGGCTGGTTGAGAGCTTGCGGGTCAGAATCAGAAGAGAGGCCTGTGTGTGGACAGCCTGTGTGGCCGAAGCTCATTACAGGCCACCTGAAGGCCATTCAGCAAGAACCAGTGTGAAGCCCYGTTCTTGGGAGAAGAGGAATCTCCAGCAAGGATAAAGGCCAGGAATTGACTGTTCGGAGAGTGGCTCTGCTAAAAAGAAACTAATGGTTATTTTAGACAGCAAGAGAACACAAGGGAGCAGTGATGGCAGCAAAGAAGATTAACTGCCATCTTCAGCTGTATGAAGTAGGTCCAGCCGGTAGATCAAGGGAAATTTTTGTTTTCCTTTACTTCTTGTTGGACTACATCTGGAATACTGCATCCAGTTTTGCTTCTCCCTCTATTAAGCGCCTGGATCTGGAGCAAGTTCAGCCCTTGAGATGGTGCAGGACCTGCAGCACATGCCATATGAGATGACGCTGAGGGAAGCAGGGGTGTTTGGCCAGGAGAAGAGAAAAGGGAGCGGGTTTCCAATAACTACAGAGATACCTACTAGAAAAGCAGCGCCAGGCACCTAACGGTTGTGCACAGTGGGAGAAGAAGACACAGAGGAGTCTTGTGACAATAAGACAACCGCTGAGTAGGTAGTTCTGTCACTGAATGTGAGGGCACAAGCTTTAGCCCCTTCTTTTCTTTCATTGCTTCTGCTCTTGGCTACTCTTTTATCTGATGTTCTTCAAAGTTTCCTTATCCAAGAAAAATGTTCCTTAATCCTCCAAAGCTGAATAGGTAACTTTTTTTTTTTTTTTTTTTTTTTTTTTTGGTAATTTGAGGAGTTTCAGTCCAAATGTGTTATATTCTTCCACAATGCAAATAGCCTGGCTTTAACAATTTCTACTGATGAGTTTCATATTCTCAATCTGTTCCTTGCAACACAGAAATGCAGCTGTTTTGAGGCTTCAGGTAGCCTTTTTAAAATTATTTTTGAAAGGACAAATCAATAATTTCATAGAACTATAGAATTGTTAAGGTTGGAAGGGAGCTTTGGAGATCATCCAGTCCAACCCCCCTGCATCCACGCGGACATCTGGAGCACGTGGCACAGGGCTGCATCCAAGCAGGTTTTGAAGACCTCCAGAGAAGGAGACTACATATCCTCTCTTGGCAGCCTGTTCCAGGRCTCTGTCACCCTCACTGTTAAGACATTTTTCTTCAAGTTCCTGTGGAACTTTTGGTGCCTCAGTTTGTGGCCGTTTCCTCTAGTCCTGTCGKTGGCCACCACTGMAAAGAGGCYGCCCCCTCCTCCTCACTGCCTCCCYTGAGGTAYTTATASACRCTGATCAGGTYCCCCCTYAGCCTCCTCTTCTCCAGGCTGAACAGGCCCAGCTCCCTCAGCATTTCTTTCATCTACAGTTCTTAGTATAACTTTCATAATTGTTGTTCCAAAAAGCTGAAAGTCTGAAAACTTTCAAAATTTACTGAACAACAATTGCTCCGTTGGTGAGAACTTGCTAGACATTTTGCTATGAGGATTCAGGTTGGATATCTCCTGAAAATGTCAATGGATTAAGCAATGCTGCTGTTCTTAAGTTAGTACATCCAGTGAGGCTGTAAAGCAAATAAGATTTATTTCATGCTGGAATGTAGAATATGAAGCACTAACTCTTCAGAGCTGATCATATGACTCAGTAATAAGTTAGATCACATATGGCTTCAAAACTGCCATGTCTTTAACCCAAATACTGATGCATCTTAATTTAGACTATTTTAAGTATTGCTGGTCTGCTCTGGTATGGATTAAGTGGTAGAGATGATCCAAAGGTTTTTTACAGCTATGACATTTGTGATATTCAAATTAGACTGCCCRGAAAAGAAGAGCTCGCATAGAGAAACAAAAGCAGAGTACTCTAAAATACTGCTCTAGGAAAATTACAAGCTACAACATGCAGGCATAAGGAAATTATATTAATATTGGTTATATCTTTAGGTCGTTTAGTGCATGACTTTAGAAGCAGTGAATTCAGTGAGTTCTCAATAACACAAGAGATGGGAAATAAGTGCTCTGCAGTTCAGACACCTGCTGAGAGCACTATAATATTGTTCCTGCTGCATCCGTTTTGTTAAATGCACTTTAAATGATAAATGCGTGCTTTCTTCGTCATTTTTATAGCACACCTAATGCACCAGAAGATGATGTTGCGAACAGATATTCTCGAACAGACAGGACAACATACAGCAGATACAGCAGGGATGCAAATTCTTCTGGGAATTCTGTACCAASTAATGCTTTGGAAAAAAGGATTGAGGAACTTGAAAGAGTGAGTACCAACTTATTTCCAAGCAATATACCTCTGAAATAAATTATCCTTCAAAGTCACTGGGAAAATGCTAAGTAAAATATATAAAAGTGGTGCTAAATACTTAACTACAGATGCTTTGGGATACAAAAGTGTATAAAGAATTAGACTGAGAAGGATATGAACTTCTTAATCACCCTAAGTGTTTAGTTTTGATTGAGTAATAGTGAGGGGCAGTTGAGGTAAAGGTAAAATTCTTTAAGCCAGCTGTGAGCTCTGTCATTTCTTGTACTCACCTCCTAACACTCCGACACCTCACAGATCACTCTGGGGAGTGGTGGGAGGAGGTGGGTTGGCTCATTGGCTGTCAGGAAATAAGCAGGTATGTTTCTTATCTGCCTCTTCAGCGAATTTTAATATGTTGAAGTGCTATAAAATTTGTTACCTTGGTATTCATTGAAGTTTTGAGCAAATCAGATATATTTTTAAAATCATTTTTTCTTATTTTAGAAATTTTTAATATAACCATTTTGGAAAATGTAATAAAGTTAAATTTGAGTTTATTACTTAAAACTGATTTTGCTAAACAGGTAGGCTCTGTAATCTATTACTAGCCTCTCTTTCTTTTTTTGAAATGGATTTTTGTATGTAGCTTCCAGATAACTGTGAGTCCTTATAGATAAAAGTTATTTGGATAGACCTTATTTTTGAACAGAATGAAAATAAAACATATTCNAAAAAAAAAAAAAAAAAAAAAAAAAAGAACCAGTTATGGAAGCCTGATCTGAGTGAAATGCTTTTCCAAATCAACTTCCTTCCAGTCATATAAATGTCAATATCACAGAAGCAGAGAAAGAAGATGCTTTTTTTTGTATCCTGAGTCCTGATTTGCTGAATTCTCAAGGTCATGTCTTACTGTCAAATGTGTCCCTTTTTTCCTCACATTCAAGCCCATGGATTTTACAGTGAGCCTTCATTTCCTTGTTAATCACAATATAAAACAAAATTCTGTATCCTAATGGAAAATACCATATAACAAGTTTGGGAGCTGAGTCTTTAAACTTATTATTTCTCTTTTGGGCTCCAATCCAATTTTGCATTTGTGCTTAAGCTGGAAATTAATTTAAATGTTACCTCTGGAAATTATCACACAGATTTTCACATAGTAATATACTGTCCTAGACATGTGACCCTTTTGCTCCTTAAAATTTTTCTATGGGTTTGACTTACTGTAGAGAAGGAATTCCAGGTAAGTGGTTTTTGTTTGTTTATTTTTTAATAGTAACAACTTAAAATTGTCTCTTTTCAAACAACATACTATATTTGGGACTTAAGTACATGTTCTTCTTTAGGAGCTTGCAAAKGAGAGACAGGAAAATGTGAGATTAATGAAGATTACGCAGGACAAAGAGGAACTGATTGGGAAGCTGAAAGAAGAAATTGATTTATTAAACAGAGTAAGCAAATATTTTACTATGTGGTGCTATACAAAAAGGATAAAAGAGTCTGTATTCTCTGTSCTTTTCTTTACTAGTCCAGTGCTCAAGGCCAGAAGAGAATTAAGTAGAGCATATTTTGCACTTGTCTGAAAAAAAACATAAAGAAGCTGTTTTTCKTAGGTGACTTGTATTTATCATCACTGATGAGTAAAGTTCTAGAAGCTATGTGATTAGAGTATCTGAATTTTTCTCTGACTGTAAGTGTTTGTAGAAAGGGATTGTAAAAGCATGTATTGCTTTCTACCTCTTCTCTCCATATTCAGTAAGTAGCATAGCACACAATTGCGTTCAGTTTCTGACTGTTAGTAATTTTTTTCCAGGACTTGTTTTAGACAGAGTTGTTACAGGTTTCATTTCACTTCAGTGTCTTCTGTTCTGTTTCATCTTAACAGTTTATGTGATCTTAGTCTAAATGCTTAATATTCTGACAAATATTGTCRTACTGTACTGTTCATTCCCAATGAAAGGCAGAAGACACGGGAGAGGGGACTGAACGAGCACCACTCGTGCAAGGGGAGTAGGCAGGAGAAGAGGGGTAGAAGAGTGAGGCATACATGGGAGTGGGGCAGGATGAGAAACACGAAAGTTAGTGTAAGATACTAATTTAATAAGTTTAGGCATGCCCAGTTTTAAGGGCAAGCTGGAGCACTTCTCTAGAGCACATTAGTGACTTTATCTTGCACTTCTTCACAGAGCCTGTCCAGTGCAGAGGCTGGACACGCCAGGGAAATCTGATTCTACTAGTCTAATGAAGATCTGTCTGTAAAAAATAAGCCAAAAAGATTCAGAACTGGCTTTGGTTAATCCAGCAGTGAATGGAGACAACAGTTCTATGTGCACARTGCTAAACATTTCATTTTGCATTATTCATTTGTAACAAAATCCACTGGTAAACGTGTTCATTGCCCTTTAGGTCCATGGTGGTTTCTGAAAGAACTCAGAACAGAGTTTCAGAAACCTTTCTTGGTGTATCTGAAGGATGATGTCTTCAATAAAGTCCATTAGATGTCAGAATAGAGATGGTCTTTGACCATTCATAGTAAAGTCAATCAGAGGCTGTGCACTGCCTGCATTGGTACATAATGGAAATTTCTGCTTACTGTGTAGTAAGAAAATACAAAACAATATTTAGTCCTTCCAAAAGATGCTCTTTATATTAAAACCTCTTTATTTTAAAATGAGTAAAAATATACTGCTCAGTGAAATGTATGAAGTCATCTTCTCACTACATCTCTTTAAATACGGAAGAGAAAGCATTCCTTTTTTTTTTCTCTCCGTCGGGTCAGCATTTATTGTAGTGTCATCTGGTAGCTTTGTTGCAGTACAACTGTTTTTCTACTAGCTTTTCTCAAGAAGGAAATAGCTGCCTTTTGACATTATGACTGGTGTAAAAACTTATCAACATTTCAAAGCAGCATGATCCAAATGATGCTTCTACTAAAACAGATATGATTTTACTTGCTTTTATAGAAGTTCTTGGATTTATGACTGGTATGGATTTATAGTGGCTATCTGTGTGGKTTTGGAAGGAGGAGAGATTTATAATATTAATGATAGGTACAAAAGCTGTGTATCATTATCATTAGAGAAGCACATTGAAATTAATGTGACCATCATTCTGTTAGTCATAACTGAGATTATGAGAGCCAGCACTTGGATGTCTGTCTGTTCTTCGTAGAACATTATTCTCTAGATCTCCATCAGGACAGGATTACTTAGTTTGGAGAAATGGTTGTGAGCCTCAGCCTTCAGTTCAGGTAAGGGAATCCCTGTTAGCTAAACTGTCCCTGGGGTCTGGTGAGGTCTCCTGAAAGCTTTGCTGGTAAGGAACCTCAGTGGAGATCTTGAAATTGAACCTACACATTCAGAGGACTTCTCTATTTTCTCTTCAGCAGAAAGTGGTGGTGTTGCCAGCTAGGTTACACAGACCACAGAAATGATTTCAAAGAGTCTAAATAATTTCTTAAGCTGTCCATTATGTTGCACAGTGTTCTGACTGCTCAGTGCTGTGCTGTGCATGGGTGAGTACAGGAACACAGACAAATGCTCGGTCCAAGCTGTGCAYGGAGGCAACCTTCACTGGCAAAGATCTCACCTGAGAAACATATTTTCCCCTGAATTCTGAGAATTTCTTTATCTCTTTTTAAGGAAATTATGTTTTAGGATAATAAAAATTATTTTATTGARAAGAGTTCAGACATCCCAAAGTAACTTAAAGGAAATGAATGGCATTTATATAAGGTACCAGGAAAGGCATCCTGCAATAAACGTCTTTGTTTCTTTCCAGTAGATTAGCCACTTAAATTATGTCTACCACCTTTATAAAAAGAGACAGATAATTGGTTTGTAAAAGCCTCAACKGTCTGAAGAGAAAGGCATCTCAAAGCATTTAAATATTTGTAAGCTAAGTTCAGCTGTCGACTAATTTACACTCGGTCACGTCTGACCTCACTGAGATGTGATGGTTAGATGGGTGTTTGGAGAGAGTCTATTAGGGAGGATTTACAAGCCAATTAGTGTCAGTTGTGCAGTCACTGGTTCCCTTGGTATGTGAAGCCCAAGCTTCCTGCCATTGTGTTCCTTTTTTTTACTAATAAATATAAATTAAATTAGGATCATAATTTTGAATAACAAACTTTAAATTCCAGGCTGTCAGAAAACACATATCACCCATTATTTCTATAGATATTTAAAATGCAGTTCATTATTATTACTGGCTTATATTCAAGAAACTCTTACTTGGAGTAATCTTTGGAATGTTATTCTTGCACGATAGGCATTTCACGAACGTTGTATTTTATTTTGAGTACATTTCAGATATTTTTACATAGAAACCCTTTAAGCTGGCTTTAATTGAGTCATCAGGTTAACAGGGAACTCATACACAGTATTAGGCAGAGACAACTGAGAAATTATTAATTAATAGGTGAAATATTGCCCCTTCCATCTAATCATTTCCCATTGCTGTGCTATGGATCTGAACAGCACAAGAGGGAAAACAGAGGATGCTTCTCACAATTAGAGCATAAACTGTAACTACAGTGACTCGTTTTATCATAACTTTAGCATGAGTAGGTGTTTAAGCCACTTGTGTCTGTAACTTTCAGAATAGTTAAATGCTCTTTCTGGAAGACATCTGTACTGTGATGCAACTTTAGGCAAAGAAGAGTATATACTAGTGATTTCTTTATTGCACATACAATACAGTAATACAGGTATTGCTTTATAGTTTTAGGCAAATCAAATTGCCAAACCAYTATTTCTGTCCTTTCATTGGCAAACTAAAGAGACTTTTAAAATCAAAATACTGGTTTTTAAATTCTCAAAAGTCTCTAAAATGCACTTTTGGAATGACCCCACTGAAAAGAAACAAGGAAATTGGCTCTTTATGTCAAATAACCACTTGACAAATTAAAGGCTCAAGAGAGAGTATCTTTTCCCTGTGACTGTTTTGTATTTAACTTAGGATGGCAACAGTATTTGCCATCAGTAACGGTATTTAGGTATTTGCAGACTTCACTGCAAAGGTAGCTAAGACCTCTGATCACAAACCCTAGTCTGTCTCCTTTGTCTGCCTGCCAATATCCTCCTTAAAATGGTCTCCTTGAGGTCCCTCCTTTTTTATTCAGTATTGAACTTCTTGTTTCACTTCTTTCATGTTCCTCCTATAGCAAAACTAGATTGAYTGGAGTATTACATATAGCAACAGCAAAGGTCCCTGTTTTTCACGTTGAGATCTTGGAAAGACTCRTTAGGAAGTCAAGAAGTGAAATGGGAACTGTGTAAATACGGTCCTTGGTGGAAGAGGGAAGGACATTTGGGATAACGWAAGCACTCAGTAGCAGTGTAGGTAGAAGGTACACTATAGCTTTTAATCTCTTAAAATAGAAAATTGAAAAATGAGGGAACGGGATCTTTCCTGTTTTCTTTCTTTCTTTTATATATATATGTGCGTGTGTGTGTGTGTATATATATTTAATTGAGAACACAGAGCAAACAGAGCAACCTTATTGCCATCAACATGTAGTGTTGCATATGTGCAGGTGGGATTGCTGCAGACAAGCAGGGCCCGGGAAGCAGAAGCAAGAGCTGACTCATCTGCTCTAGGCATATGCCAAGAAAATAATCACATCCATCCTATTTTGGTTTCCTGTTGCATTCATTCCTTCTGTGGCTCCAGTTTTGATTATATGTCTTCGCTTAAAGGTGCTTATACATGAGAATATAATATTACTGTTTTGTAATTATGGTAGCAGATGGACAAAAAGAGGTTTTAGAAGGTTTAAGGATAGCTACTATGAAACTCTTAGTTTCCTCATCTCTCATTAAATCATATCTTCTTGATATAACAGCTAAGGTGCTAAATTTGTGCAGCTGCTAATTGAGAGATTGTGTTCTGAGAAGAGTTTGATTTTTTCCCTTTTTTTTTTTTTCTTTTCACAGGACCTAGATGATATAGAAGATGAAAATGAACAATTGAAGCAAGAAAATAAAACCCTGTTAAAAGTTGTAGGACAGCTGACAAGGTAGAAGATTCAAGCCTCAATGAGGAAAGATTTTTAAAAACTACTGATTGAATGTTAAGGTCAATATAGTAATACTTCCTGTGTTGCAGTATGTGAAAATAACTGTCTTTATATTTATTATTAGGAAACCAGATGGATGTTTATTTTCATAATACTTTCTTTTTCATTCAATGAAATTGCATCAATTTGGTGGYATATTTTTAACTTTCTTGTCAAAGGAGAGTAATAATTTTGACATATTTCACAATATTAAATAGAAAATTATTTGGGTTTTGTATCTTCAGATTACACTTGGATAATTACAGTAGTTTGAGATTCATAGCACCAAGATCACTTTCAGTCTATGTGGGTGTATATTTTTTGAATGAATGGAAGCAATAGATATAAGCTTTGTTTACACAGATCCAAAATATATATTTTGGGAACTCTTTCTTTTCTCGTTTGTTTAAGCAGCTGTAAAGTGGTTGCCTTCTTACTGTTGTATAACATTTTGCAGATTGATTCCTTGCTCTAAAATCTCCTGTATGTTGAGGTTTTTGTACCTTATCTGAAACACAGATAATAATAGAAAATAGCTTTATTTCTCTCTCTCTCTCTCTGTATAACAGTATTCTGGCAGAAGGGGAAGGTTTTATTAAAAAATAATATCATGTGCAGTATCAGCATTAATGAGTTCTTAAAATCATATTGAAGTTGTGCACTGTAGTTTATCTTAAAGCTTTTGCTTTAGCAATGAAATGCAAGTTTTCTATCAAAGACGAATTTTTTTTTTGGTGTGTTGAGAAGCCTGGAGCTTTCATTTTTGCAAAGACATTTTTGTAATACACTTTTATCTCAATCTGTCTTCTTAAAATTCATAGTGATCAGAATCCATGTGAGTTTTTTGATGTTTTCGTTTTTTAAGCTGGGTCAAAAAYGGTGTATATAGCAGAAGAGGGGGGAGTGTAAGTGATTCGTGCCCTTTCAAAATAGCGAATGGTTTTAAAAAAACCTTTTATCCTTGATTTTAAACTAACAGGGTGTTTAAAAAGTGCCTGTTTAGATGTAGCAAACCACTTACGTTGATGTACTGAAGCTATTACAGCATGATAGTACACACAATTTTCTTATTACATAAACCACAGACTTCAGTGAACAATTCTCTCCTCAAAATTCTTGTTAGGCTGAGATATGTGGTGCTTTATTTCATTTGAATATAGCACAAATTTGATCCCCAGTCTAAATAAAATATATAAATCATTTGGGTCAGGAGACCAGAAGTGAAATCCTTTTGTAGGGTTTTTACTTGATGATTTTGAAGTTCAGTGTTGGAAAATGGCATGTGTTTCATTTTTGTTACTTCAGAACTTAAGGGGCAACTCAAATATACACTGGTGATCATCATTTAAGATTTGCCAGTTGCTTCCATAAAATTTCCTTTTAATAACAGATTCTTAAACTTCAAGTCCAGGAATTACTGGTACATATTGGATATGTTTGAGTATAGACTAGCGTATTCTAGGTTTGTGTATTCTAATAAAGGAGAAGACTTTCATGGTTTTAAAGTATTTTAACAAGACACGTTTCAGGAACCCTTGGGGTTTTCCTCCATGGTGGAAGAGATCCTATAGGAAACCATTTAAAACCTTAATCCTGTGGTTTAAATAGCGCAGGGGTTTTGCGTAGGCCTTATAACTGTGATATTCACCAGTGAATATGACTCTCAATAATAGTCAAGCAATAACAATCTCTTAATCTATCACTCTCTTAAAATCAGAAATTTAAGAAATTTAATATGATAAAAAATAAATTTCTTTGAGATTCAAAAATGCTATTTTCTCCTGTGTGTACTAGGCAGGGAATGTACTTGTAGATAGGAGGCTTGGGGAGTCAAACGTTGTAGTGTCATCACGGAAACAAGACATTAAAGCATCTACGGACACTTATTAACACAGAGGTCTATGTGAGATGTTTATAAACTGTATTTCATATACATATTAACCCAAAGGACAATGACAGCAAAGAAAATAAAAGAATTTCTTGGAATCGTATTTTCTCTTCTTGGTTTGCATGCATATTGACCAAAACTTAGCAGCAGAAATTCCAAAATTAGAATTCCCCTTTTAATGTAGATGTCCAGTTGATGGGAATATTTCTCTCATGGCAGAAGCACTTAGGATACCCAACCACGAAGAGGTCAGGGCATAGGGATTTTCTGAATCTTTGGGAAGAGTGATGCTTCAGCTAGAACATGAGAATTGACACAGAAAGTGCCTCAGGACTTTAGTGGCATTCCTTAATACTATACAGACATAAAACTCTTCATGAGCTTAAAAAAATCTACAAACTGTAGCTTGAAACACAACCTTTCTGCTGACATTTCTTAATATTTAGAGAGTTCAGGGGAGAAAAAGTATTTCAATAATATAGAGTTAATTGTAACTTATTTTATCAGCTCTAGGGGAGATATATGGTAGCCTCCAGGAAAAAAGTACTTGTGTAGACTGTTAATAGTCATCTAGTCATTATTTGCCATTTTGTTTTCATTTCATTAGGATATCCTCATAGTGAAGCTCAAACATGAAGTAAGTTTCTTTTCTTAGATGATTTGAAGGGGTTGGATTACCTTGTCAGCAAATTGCTAACCCATGCTCACTTGCTCTCTGGTCCAACACCTCGATTATTCTGAATTATACAATTTTAAAACAGGGACATTAATGAGGCAATGGGGACGGCTATATTTCCTTAATGAATGTGGGCATTTCTGTAACTAGGCTAAATTAATTTGTTARCACTGTTTTGGTTTTCTATGCAATATTAACTGTATGGGTAAATCTCTTGAAAATTCCTGAATTTATCATTTGGACCAGACTGCAAAGGATCTAGTATCTGTGTTTCTYGGAAACCTGGGTCATCTATGAAATTGAAGCAAAAAAAGTTTCTCCATTGACTAAACTAATGCAAGAGGGTTTTTTTTTTTTTTTGCAAAATCTTTTGGTAATGCATGTACAGTACATAAATTTTGATCATGAAAGTGATGGTCACATACTGTTGTACAGAAAACAAATACTATCTCCAGATCTGAAGGTTAGAATTGTGCAGAAATATTACACTGATAATGTGCATTAATTTTTGTGGAAGTATTGTGGAATTATTCCCTAAAATAGAAGATAAGCAATACTTAAATTTGGATGTTTTTACAAGGAAATCCCAAGTTGCCTTTTTTCTGTTTTAAAATAACCAGATTGCTATGATGAAGTTTGATGTTACTTGAGGTAGCAATGTACGATGAAGGGTGTTTAGTTCTTTTTTTTTTTTTTTTTCAAAAAAATGATGAATTTTCAGCAAAGCTCTTTTCAACATGTCTGGTATCATTACTACCTGGAAGCTTCCTACCATAAGAGACACGAGAGAGACCATATTGAAGCACAAAGTTTTAAAAACTTTGCTTTGAGGGCAGAGGTACACTGAGTTCAGCCATGGTTATTTACAGCTTAGTGGAAATTAATCAATATTAGTTGCCAAGTGTAAAGGTGATTATTATTGAGGAAAAAAAGCCTTTAAATTATAGCTGTAGATATAATCAACATGTTAATGAGTATCAGTATTTCTTGAGTTCAGAGACTCTTTGATGAAGATGTTGGTTGAGTCAATCCATTCTCATCAGTATTAATAATTATTTTTAATAATTATTGGTATTTTTAATAAAAAACATAAAAACTATATTAGGGAAATCAGCATTGCAAGCCATAACTTAAAAAATGAGAAACAATTCAAGAGATTTGTGCTGCTACCAATATCTGCTGAGACTAAGGAGCATAAAAGATACAAAGATAAAAGTAAATACTCTGAAGGTTGAAGTACCTTGTGCAGTAGTTTTAAAAATTTAGCTAAAGATGAAGCAAATTAGTTCTGGAGATCTTGTCACTTCTGGCAGTTCTCTGCTAGAAGTTCAGTAYAGATCTTCTTTTGTCCGTCATTCTGAGGGTGATGCCTGCATAAGAAGCATTTTACTTCTGTTATTCAGCATTTCTTCAGACCTACTTAAATATATTCAAAACATAAAGGATTTTGATGTGTATTGGATGTAAAAGTCATGATCTTCCAGTATGTAAACTCACCGTAGTAAATCTCTGCCTACCATTTCTCCTTGTTCTGCCACAGGTGTACATTATCTTGTTAATTTATCCTTTTTGCTTTAATTTCTAGATTATGGTGTACTGTTCTTGTCCAGGGTTATGGCTAGTTGTGATTTTTCTGTTGTGAAAAAAATGAAATAGTTGAGTTTTCTTCTGAAAATAATTTTGTAATCATAAAACAGAAGCATTTTTTTAAATATCCATTTTACACGTTTAAAAGGTTGAAGCATCATTAAACTATGAATTACTAAATGTTGGTTTAGTTTTGAACATTGTGATAATAGTAGTTTAAAATAAGATGTTGAGATACTTACTATTGCAGGTAAAAAAAATATGCTTTTAACCTAACAATAAAAACTGTGTGCCTTTTCCAAATAAAACAAGGTTCTTTTTAATCCAGTCTGACAATTTATTGTGTTCAAAGAAGAATATATATTGTCCAACTACAGCGATTGACAATTGGCTTTGTCATCAGTTCTGAGAAGCTCCCAAACAGAACTGCTGGAAGTTTATATATACATGTATGTATGTATCTATGTGTTTTGTGTGTGTATGTGAATTCAGATTCTTGTCGTCAAGTACACCGACAAGAGCAGAAATCTCCCACTGCGCTGATTTTCACTCCTTCTGCCTTTAGGAACTTAATGCCTTCCCTTCAGTCAGCCACATAGAAATTACCTGTCTCATGCTTCAAAGTTTAAGTTTAGTTTTTCTCAATTTTATGCCGTTTAGAAGATTCACTGAAAAAAGAACCTGAAGCATGACTGCATGAAACCGTTAATTCAACACCCTGATCTTCTACCATAAGGTATTAGAGGCGTTTGCATTTAGAGCATTTAGCTTGTTTGGGGATAGATTTGGCTCAGGATTTTTTTACTCCTACAAATGACATCCTTTCGAAAGGCCAGTGGCCTTCAGAWTTCTGTTTGGCTTTAAAATCTGGAACTATTTTGTTCCTTGGAAGAAATCTGGAAGCATTTTCTTCCATAA